ATAGGGTGCGTGCGCTCGTCAGACAGACAGAGAGAGACATAGAGACAGAAAGTGAGAAATCACCCCCCGGGGGGATGGTCACGCTGCAATCCCTTCTCCTCCATTCTCCTCTCGAGATCTTGGGCACACACCGCCTGGTGTGAGTTTTAAGCCACCGGGTCTGGGACGCGAACCGTGGTCGACTACGCGGGAGTCCAACGACACAGCCATTACGCTGATTCTTTTAACAAGTACCGAGGGCACTCGCAAGGACAGAGACAGGCGCTGCTTTAAGGTCTGACTAGGTGGTGAGATAGAAGGCCTCCCCCATTACCCAGGGTCAACTATGTGGGAGTCCAGCAACATAGCCATTACGCTAACTGCAACCCCTCCCACGGGAATGGTCATATCAATACTTTCTCCTTCACCTCCTCCTCCTTTCAGGATTTTTGGGCATGCACATGCATATTCATCCAGGTGTGTTTCTCAAGCTGCTGGATCTGGGATGTGAACTGTTGACTGGCCAGTGAGTTCTGGCTGCCTTAACCATCAGGTTATGGAGCTGGCCCTGAACCTTTTTTTTGTTGTTGTAGTTTGGTATGGGAACTATTTGTAAGTAGAGTAACACTTAGAAAATTTAAAACTGTCAATCTGTCAGTGATATAGGCATTTTGGAATGTTAATCAAATTTTGGTCAGGTACAACTAACCTGAAGCTAGGGTATTTTATGATAACATGTGAATACAATCTCATTTTCAGAGATCGTTTTAACCCATTTCAAATATTACCTCCTTCCTGTCTTTCCTTGACCTTCCCTTTTTCCTTTTCTTTTTTAGGTTTTTGCCATAGGGCACATATGCTTGCAAGAGAGGAGAGGCAGAGAGACATAGAGAGGAAAAGTGAGAAATCACCCCCCACAGGGAGGAATGGTCCCTTCTTCTGGGATTTTGGGCACACATGCATACGCTCCTAATATGTTTCAAGCCACTGGTTCCAGGACTCGAACTGCAGTCGGCCATGTTGAAATCCAATCCCTTCTTCTGGGATTTTGGGCACACATGCATACGCTCCTAATATGTTTCAAGCCACTGGTTCCAGGACTCGAACTGCAGTCGGCCATGTTGAAATCCAACACTTCACCACTACGCCACCTGCTGATTCCAACCTTCCTTATCTTAAGACAGAATTATCTGAGTTTTTGCAGACCTTTTATGTAGAATTATCACAATGCATTATAAAAGGAGACTAGTCTTGGGAACCAGCAGTTAGCGTAATGGCTATGTCGCTGGACTCCCACGTAGTCGACCGCGGTTCGCGTCCCAGACCCAGTGGCTTAAAACTCACGCCGGGCGCATGTGCATGTGTGCCCAAGATCCCGAGAGGAGAATGGAGGAGAAGGGATTGCGGCGTGACCAGCCCCCCTGGGGGGTGATTTCTTGCTTTCTGTCTCTATGTCTTTCTCTGTCTGTCTGGCAAGCGCACACACCCTATAGCGAAAACCTCTCAAAAAAAAAAAAAAAAAAAAGGAGACTAGGCTTTTTAAGGATTTTTGCCATAGGGAGCTTATATTTGCCAGAGAGAGACAGAGAGAGGGAAAGCAAAAAATCACCTCCTCGTGGGGATGGCTATGCTGCAATCCGTTTTTCATTCTTCTCTCAGGATTTTGGGCATGCACATGCACATGCTCAGCTTGAGTTTCATGCTGCTAAGTCTGGGACTCAAAGCCTGGTTGAGCTGTATGGGAGTACAGCACCTTAACCACCACACCACCTGCTGGTCCTGAACAAAGTTCTATTTTCCTGCTTTTTAAAAAAATTATTTTATTTAACTTTATTTATTTATTTTAATTTGATCAGAGAGGGACACAGTGAGAGAGAGAGAGAGAGCGAGCGAGCAAGCAAGCCATCAGGTCCAGGACTCGAATTCTGTCAGCCATGTGGGAGTCCAGTACCCTCAACCACCACACCACCTGCTGGCTCTTTTCCCTGCTTTTTAAAAAATGCCTTATTTGGGTCAGACACTGTGTTACGTGATAATCTATAACCAAGGTAGGTAAATTGCAGTTGTGTTACTACATCTGATTTAGAAATCAGAATTCCAGCAGTATGAATTGATTTTTAATAATAGTTGGGTAACTCTCACTCCTTGGCTTTCTAACTTTAAGGATATTGGAAAAAGTAATTTCAGAATGATTTTTTAAATTTCTTAGTGTGACTGTGAAATACTATGGAAAAGCATCTCATGCTGCTGCTTATCCCTGGGAAGGAGTAAACGCATTAGATGCCGCTGTTCTCGCCTACAACAATCTGTCTGTGTTCAGACAGCAAATGAAACCAACCTGGAGAGTTCATGGTATGAATGTCAGATACTTTATATAACAGGTGGTGCTTAATGCATTACAGCATAATATATTTAACAATGCATAGCAGTGTAACATATTTAATGCTTGATTTTTTTTTTAAATGTGGGAACATTTTATGTACTTCCTAAAAATTGTAGACATATTTTAGAAATTCATGTGACAGGATACTAATATGTTTGTCTATGGGCAGGAAGATAGCTACGATTATTGTACACAAATGAAGAGAACATCTTTGAGCAACAGTTAAGGTTTTATGTAAGGAGCTACATTCTTTCTTTGGGTATTCAAAGTTGAAGCTTGGTTTTCCAGTTATCCTCATTGTCTTTTTCTTTTCTTTTCTTTTTTTTTTCTAAGAATTTGGGGGACCAGCAGTTAGTGTAAGGTCTATGTCGCTGGACTCCCACATAGTCGACCGTGGTTCGCATCCCGGACCCAGTGGCTTAAAACTCACTCCGGGCGCGTGTGTGTGCGTGCCCAAGATCCCGAGAGGAGAATGGAGAAGAAGGGACTGCAGTGTGGCCATCCCCCCTGGGGGGTGATTTCTCACTTTGTCTCTCTGTCTCTGTTTGTCTGGCAAGCGCAGGCGCCAGATAGCAAAAACCTCTCAAAAAAAAAAAAAGAATTATTCATTTGGAGCCAGCAGATGGCCTAATAGTTATGTCACTGGACTTCCACATGGTTAGAATTAACTGTGGTTAGAATCCCAGACCCAGTGGCTTAAAATTCATGCTGGATATCATTTTGTGTGCCAAAAATCCCTAGAGGACAATAGAGGAGAAGGGATTGTGCCATGGCTATTTCCCTGGGTGGCTGATTTCTTGCTTTCTGGCACTCTGGTGAGCACACACACCCTATAGCAAAAATCTTTCTAAAAAAGAATTTACTTAATTTTATTTATTATTATTATTTAATTTGCTATAGGGCACACATGCTCACCAGAGACATATATATATAAGAGAGAGAGAAAACAAGAAAGCAAGCTGCCAGGTCTAGGACTCAAACCACGGTTGGCCATGTGGGAATCCAGCATATTAACCACCATGCTACCTGCTGGCCCCTTCACTGTCTCTTAACGATAACAAAACTTTGTCATTTCCCCAATTTTAAAAAAGTTGTAATAATTACTACTTTTATTTACTCAAGAGTTATTAATCCTGAGTAATATTTTAAAATTATGTGCATTACCATAATGTAAATATAGTATTATATTTATTATTACAAACAAATATTATAAAATAAATAAATAGTATTAAAATGCTGGTTAAGGGTATAAGTTTACTTTACAGTTTATTTCCTTGTGAGTTAGGAAATTGTTATAATACCTATTCATTACCTGGTTTTGCTGTAGGCTAAGTACATTTATAATTTTACTTTTACCAGTTTCTTACCTTAGTTTATGTAAAAGGAACAAGTGAAAAATGAGACCATATAGATATTTTATTTTTTGAGAGAGATTTTTGCTCTAGGGCATGTGTGCTTGCTGGAGAGACAGAAACAGAGAGAAAGTGAGAAATCACCCTCCAGGGGGATGGCCACACCGCAGTCCCTTTTCTTCTGTTCTCTTGGGATTTTGGACATGCATGCACACGTGCCTGGCATGTTTTTCAATCAGCTGGGTCTAGGACTCAAGCCATACAGTGGACCATATGGGATTCAGTGTCTTAACCACCATACAAGCTGGACTGGGCTTTTTTCTTGTTTTATGTCAAAGTTTATTAAATGTACAACTATAATAAAGGCTACTGGAAATAGAAAGCTTTTCCAGAAAACTTAAGATTATTACTAGATTTATTATTGTAAGGTTTATTATATCAATTTTAACAATTTCTCTATAATCGAGATCATACAGTAATTTTTTTGGGGGGGGTTGTTTTGTTTTGTTTTTTATTTGGCAGAGGATGAGGCCAGCCAAATCCAACATGGGCCAAGTGTACAATTGGAATAAGAGAGTTGAAGAGAAGGGATTGAGGATGACCACCCCCAGGGGTGCTTTCTTACTTTTTCTCTCTCTTTCCTTCTCTGTCTCTCGTTGGTGAGTGCATATGCCCTATAGCGGACAGAAAAAAAAAATGCCAGCAGGTGTGTGTGCTTGCCAGAGAGATGAGAGGGAGCAAGAACCCTCCAGCGGCACGTAGTTATTCTTCAAAACCTTCTCCATTTTTCCATCCTGTTGAGATTTAGGCATGTGTTTTTTTTCAAGCTGCTGAGGTGGAGATTCAAACCCACAAAGTTGGTCAATGATGTCTAGCTCCTTTAACCACCAAACCACAGAATCAACCCTGGGTCGCCATTTCTTAACATTAAATGAACTCTTTAGAAAGAACATACTGACAACTATTTATTTTTTTCCTATTAGCCAGAAAAATACTCATGCCATTTGCATAGACACTTACATTGTGCAACATATCAAAATCTTTGCTAGGTGTAGAAAAGAAGCTAATAAGTTGATTTTCTTTGTGGGTGAATGACTTCGTGGGTATATTTAAGGTATACTTATGGTCACCAAACTTAATTTCAGTACTTTTTTTTTATAGGTATAATAAAAAATGGTGGTGTAAAACCCAATATCATTCCTTCTTACTCTGAATTAGTCTATTACTTCCGTGCACCCTCAATGAAAGAACTTCAAGTTTTGACCCAAAAGGCAGAAGATTGCTTCAGAGCCGCAGCTTTGGCTACAGGGTGCACCGTAAGAACTTTTAAGTGCTAATCTAAGTTAGAATCAGGGGTAGATGTGTGGGTGGGGCTGTTTATAGTGTTAGACTGAAATTTAACCTCTTCGATTTGGTGATGTCTTGTATATAGGGGATGAATTGTCTGAATAGTTAATGCAGAAGTCTTTAATTCTTTTAATTATTATTTAGGTTTTTGCCATAGGGCACGTGTACTCATGAGAGAGGGAGAGAAAGAGAGAGACAGTGAGAGGGAAAGTGAGAAATCACCCCCAGGGGGGATGGCCACACTGCAATCCCTTCTCAGTTCTCCTCGTAGGATCTTGGGCATGCTCATGTGGCCAGTGTTGATTTTCAAGCCATTGGATCCAGGTCTTTAACCATGGTTGGCCATGTGGGAGTCCAGCAACATAACTACTATGCCATCTGCTGGCCTCAAGTCTTAATTCTTACATATTTTAGTTAATGTCTGCAGTAGGGAAGACTAGAGTCACCTTTTATTTGATAATTAGAACAATTCTGAGACTGCTGTGTTAGGGTCCATGCCTTTTTCCAAGGTTCGTCCTTATTGGCAGTTATGCCTTTAGAATTCCTATCTACAGATATTATAAAATCTGCGAAAGTTTTTTTGATGAAGTTGTAGATATGTGTAGTAGTGATATAAATACTATGGCTTGCTGGATGGAAGTTGAAGTAGACACAGAAGTTTGTCAAAATGTTGATTTTAACCTTAAAGTGAGTAACATGTAAACACCAATCATGTAAGCTGTAAAGTAGGGTGAGTTTTAGAATTGAATGAAAGAGAATTTTGCCCTGGGGAAAGGCCGTAGTCTAGTTGGAGTGACAAGATCTTGACCTGGGTCTCTTGGTCTTGCTAATTCTGTATTCTGCAAAAATATCATTTAGTATCTCTGGGCCTGTATTTTCTCACATGAAACATGGAAATAATATTATCGTATAGTTCCTGTGAGAATTAAATGAGATAAAGTTTGCGAAGAGTTTAGAGCCTCGCCTTCATATTTATTACCTTTTTTTTTTTGTCTCTTACTAATCTAGAGATGAATGACTGATACTTATTCACATAGTGGCAGTGTCTCACAAAGCAGTGATTTTCAGAATTTGTTAAGTGTGCTAAGAGTAGCACCAACAGTAAGTGTCATGAGGGATCAGAAGCAGTGAAGAGGTGGTCTGGGACTATTCAGAGGAAGATTTCATACAAGACTGTAGACCTGAACTGAGCTTTGAAGGATGATTATATTTTCCATTTGTGAAGGACAGAGAATGAGAGCTCTTAGACAAGGAGTATAGTCAGTAAAGATAAAGATATAAAAGCGGGGCCGGCAGGTGGCATGGTGGTTAAGGGTGCTGGACTCCCACTTGACTGACCATGGTTTGAACCCTGGACTTGGCAGCTTGCTTTCTCACATTCTTTCTCTCTGTCTCCCCACTTCTCTGGTCAAATTAAAATAAATAAAGTAAAATAAAATAAGTATTTTTTTAAAAATGATGTAGAAACTCATCTTGTAATGAAGAGATAAATATATAGACAAATGTCAGAGAAAGGATACATCCTCATATGCCACTAGAGTATTTAGGTATAGATTTAGTGTATGAGAACTACAAACCATCCATAGGTTAGGAAAGTAAACAACTAAACATTAATTCTTTTATTTTTATAATTATAAAATTTTTTTGAACACTTTTTTCTTCTTTTTTTTTTTTTTTTTTTTTTTTTCTAT